TATATATATATATTTTTTTTTAAAAAGCAATTGCTCACTTAGGAAAGTATTTTGGGTTCAGGAGGTTAGTTAGGGATCTTTGTGGAGATTCCCTCTTGGAGAAGATTGTTTGAAGAAGTTGCCCGGGTCTTTGCCAGGGTGTGGGGCGTGCAGCCAGAGAGTAGGAACTGTTCCCAGCGCCTCTTCCCTTCTCCCCAGCACAAGTACACGTCGATCGCAGAGGTCCAGGCGCAGATGGAGGAGGAGTTCCTTCGCTCTCCTCTTTCAGGGGTGAGTTGGGGCCTTCCTCAGCCAGCAGGATCCCTCCGTTCTTTCCAGGCACAGTGCTGGGCCTAAACCACGAAGCTGCCTGGTCCTGCCCTCTTGCTCCCCCGGCAGGGGTGGCTTATCGGGTGCCGGGGTGAAGAGCACAGGCTCTGAGCCAGTCACCACCTCTGAATCCAGTGCCACCACTCGGGGTGACAACTTCGCAGGAGACTAGATCTTTGTGCTTCAGTTTCCTCACCTGTGAGATGGGGATAATAATCATGCCCTCTTCACAGAGTGTAGTGAGGACTAATGGGCTTCCTACAAGGAAAGTGCCTGCACGTTGTCAGTCAGGTGTGCTGTCACTATCCGCATCGTTGTTTACATCAGTGCTTACAGCCCCTCCTCCAGCCAGCGAGTCAGCTGGCTCAGGAGACTGTCAGGACTGGGCTTGAATCTCTACCCTTGTGGTCAAAGGGAGAAGAGGAAGTGGAGCAAGTCCCTGCAGAAACACTCTACCAAGGCCTGCTCCCCAGCCTGCCGCAGTACATGGTGAGTCCCTCCTCAGGCTCCAGCCTGCCTGCCAGTGCCTCCAGTCCCTCCTGAGTGCCCTGCCCCTGGGCCCCTGCGGAGGGACCACCTCTCCGGGCTGAGGCCTGCACCTGGGTGCTCCTGTCCTCCCAGATCGCGCTGCTGAAGATCCTGCTGGCTGCAGCCCCCACCTCCAAAGCCAAAACCGACTCGATCAACATCCTGGCCGACGTCCTGCCTGAGGAGATGCCGTGAGTACCGTCGCCCCTGTGCGTGGAACAGGTGGGGCAACAGAACGGGGCCGTGTCTCCCTTTCAGTCCCCAGGTTTGGGAGGTTGCTTCCTTTTTTGATTCAACTCTGCAGGTTAAGTTGAGGGTATTCCTGGCTCAGAAGAAAAATAAGTACTGGGTTAAATATCTCGATTTGCTGCTTGGGGAGAAGGTCAGCCCAGCTGGCCTGGATTCTAGTGTAGACTCTGCCCTGAGTGGATGCCTGAGTGACCGGGAGAGTCCTCACCCCTCTGCAGAGTGAGTTGGGCTGGGGCGACATTTCCCCCAAAGCTGTGTGGCTGGGACATCAGGACGGGGAGATGCAGCTTCTGGACACCGTGCCAGCCAGCAGCTGAGCCTCCGCTGGGTGTGGCTCTCCCGTTCACAGTACCCGGCCTGCGGGCCGTTTGTGAGCGCCTCAGGTGACAGTGAAGTCCTCAGGGCGCTTCCTCCCTGGGGCACTGAC